TTAGCAACAAGCTGTGATTTTGTTTTTATTTTACAAAGAGACTACAAATTCTACTTTTAGCTTGTTTTTAAGTGTGATACTAGTGCAGAATATCCAAGTCCAGGTTATATTAGTAATCGTATTGATTTCTTTTATGCTTGATAATTCTAAGGAAGTCAGAGTGCCAAATATACATGACATTTGTTGTTTTGTTTTTTTGTAAACTAAAGGTAAAATTAATCTTAAAGTATTGAGCAGATAATGGGAGGGGCGGCCTAGTGGTTAGGGGATAGAGCTTGGAGTCCTGAGGTTCTGAGTTTGAGCCCCACTCCCACAGAATGCCACTCTGGGTCTCTGAGCAAGAACCTTAACCAGACACTGCTCCCTGGGCGCCGCACAATGGCAGCCCACTGCTTCCCAAAGGAATGGGTTTAATGCAGAGGTAAATTTCTCCAATCTGAGATCAATTAAGTTCAGTTATTATTATTGTTGTTATTATTATTATTATTATTATTATTATTATTATTATTATTATTATTACTAAAATGCAATTCTGAGATATTAAGTGTTTTTATTAAAGGAGCAGTACTTTCTAATCCAACCAAGTCATATGAGAAAAAAGTGCCAATGACTGTCAGGAAAGGTTTGCAATAACTTGTCAGGGTTGTGCACCTGTTCAAGGTTGTGTGACAACATCTTGGTCTGATTTAAATTGAACACTCCCATGCAGAGCCTTTTTTAAAAATCTCTTTTTTTTTAACATGTTCAAAACATTGAAATAATCCAAGACAAGTAAGGTCTGTAGTGCATTAGATATGGTCGCTGGTTAATAAGTTGTTTTTTGACGTCCTTGTTGAGTCATCAATGAGCCCTTGGAGTAATTTTGGTTTTCCTATTTGTAGACAGTAGCTTCCACAGTAGTACACTGAAGCCCCAAAGCATTGGAACCTCAGAGACTTTGTAATCCAGACTGATGGATATAAATGACTTGGTTCTTGAAGCTCTCCATCATTTTGTCACACCGGTTCTATTTAATCATGCCTTTAATCTATAGGTCTGCTAGTTAACAGGGCAGGGTGCAGCTAATGAAATTTGAGATCATGTGGAGTCCAGGCTCTTTCAAAAAACTGAAAATCCCACTTTAGTTCAGTACAGATGGGCCGCTCTGAGTCACGTCCTTTTTCCAGAATATTAGCCATCCTATTCCGCCTTACATTCATTGTTTTTTGGTATACAAACTACCTCAATACTAAAACTTTTTAGTTGGTGTCATTTTGTGGATAAATTATGCTAAAATACATATGAGAACTTTGGATATAAGCCTTGTTCCTTAAATCGTATTTCTGATTTGGTCCGTCTGACCCTATTAGAATATGGCTGTTTTCATGGTGTCGAAATTGTATCAGGGTGGATTCAAGCTACATCCTGTAGATTGATATTATTCATCCGCATAATGGACTGATATTCACTTACAGTAGACTTTGAGTAGAATATAATAAATTACTTAAACCACAAGGCTGTATTTTCCTCTTTCTACTTGTAATAACAATCCATATAACACAAGAGGGAAAAAAAAGATGTTTTATTTGTATTTTATTTTTCAAGAAGGCAGAGGAGGCAGCTGGAATACAGAATACCAGGAAACCAGAACTCTCAGAGGCAAATTAGGCCGTATAGATATGCATCCTCACGCACAGGTTTAATATTTTCTGTCTTTTCGTCATCTTGGGGGTGAACCGCACACTTGGAGGAGAGGTGGCGGAGGTGCGGTGTTGGGATGTAGGAGAGGGAAGAGTTGAATGGTGGTGGCAGGCAGGGTTGCTATGGTAACAGAAGGGTGAAGTCACCCGGCTGCTGCGGTGCCGTTGTAGGGACTCATTATGCCACCTCCCATCTATCTATCTCTGTATGTCTGTTTCTGCTGCTTCAGAAAAGCTCTGTGGTCCCAAGTCCTCTTTTCTTTATTGCCTTTTGTAAGATCTGAGACTTGGGTCGGAAATAAAGAATGTGTAGCTAGATAAGGGCCAACATGTGAAGAGCTCGTACCGGTTAAAAGTGTAGCTACAGAAAATGAGCCAGTTTGGATTTTTAATTTGACAGTAAAGTCAATTGGGGTGTGGTATTGAGTTATCCTTTTACGTTAAAGGGTTTGCAGCACAATATTAGCTTTCAAGGTTTCTTCATGGGGAGGTCAAGAAACCAATGAAGACAGAGTCAAAAAAATTATATCTATAATAATCTCTGCCATTAATAGTTGGGTGTAGACCTGAGGAACTCTGCCGTGCTTGTGGTTTCTAAATTTAAATAAATTTTGTGTCAAAGGTTTTGTGCTGTAGTAATCCTTTAATGCTGAGTAGCCTTGGTCGACTAATTAATAAATGGCTTTTAATTGATGTAGGAATAATGCAAAATAAAAGCTTTTTTGTGTTGGAGGCGAAACGCTTTGTTTTTGTGTATAATGTTGTTTTAAAGACCATTCCTGATGGCAGTGAAGGACGCCCTAGTCACCCAAGACAAGATCTATAGGGGGCAGCCTGCATGATCTTTAAAGTTGAGTAAGAATAAATGAAAAGCAGGCACTAATATTTCAACCTGCGTGGTATGGAAAGTCTCTGCGGCTGCATTTTAATACAGATACTCATAGCGCTCTATGTTTTCACAGCTCTAAATAGTAACAATAGGGAAAGCAGCTTAAACCAGTAGTATACACCCATCCAATGAAAAGAATGAAAGGAGGAGACAAGAACATTGGTTTGGCTTCACTATAGGGAATTTCTAACATTATTACTTATATCATTTAGAAGATGAATTCCATCAATAGCGTACATACTTAATTTTGTTCATGTTTATACTCATTTAGGTGGTTGATTAGGATTCAAGACAAGTAACCTTTTCATAATATATGGCTAACGTTGATTGTTTTGGGCCTTTGTTAACATTCTTTGTTGTTTATATAAGAATTTAAATGATTGTACTTTGGCTTTTTTAACTTTTGTCTAATGGGCTATTAGTGAAAGTAAAAGCTAAAATTACACTTAAAGAAGTTATTTAGTTAAAATGATATGCTAACAGATTGGTCCACTGTCGCCTTGAGTTTAAACATCCCTTCTAGCCCCCTGGTTCTAAAGGGAAATGTGTTACAACCCGGGTTTAGGTGTTTCTAAAATATCCCTGATGAAATGTAGTATAAACCTGACAACATCTTTGTTTCTCCAACTTAGTAGTTTTATGTTGGTAAATTATTGTGAGAAACCAAGGAGTAAAATTCTTTAAATATCAGCTTCGAAGATGTACAGATTTGTAGTCTGCTGTGCTAAAGATTGTTCTTGTGCCTTACATTCGATTTATTTATCAAAATGGAGAAAAACAAGGAAAATAAATGGAAAAACTTGTTGTTAGACTATCATCTACTGTAGGTATATATTAACCTTTGTCAAAGCCAGACCTTTATGCTTGACGATGTAATGAGATGGACATAGTCAAAGTGTTGGGTTAAATACCGTGAGAGCCAAATGAAAAGGTTCTTGTCAGGCAATCTACAGTGACCAACTCAGCCTCATAATGCTTCATTGCACTTGTAGATGTCACCATTGTCCTGCAGCTTCTACAGAGATGAGACATTTCTTAAAGGAAGGATGCGTGCCTCTTGCAACTAATCACATGGATCAACTTGTTGCTCATTATCTCTTTTGTGGCATAAAATGTTTTCCTGAGCATGAAATTGCTTCTCTTTCGTTTTTTACTTAAACTTAAACTTGTTTAAGATTCTGACATCTGCTTCATCCTCTAAAATGATTTGCCTGCATGTGTTACAGCCAGAAAACCTTCTCCTCGCCAGTAAGATGAAGGGAGCAGCTGTGAAGCTTGCAGATTTCGGTCTCGCCATTGAGGTGCAAGGTGACCAACAGGCATGGTTCGGTAAGAAGAGGCTCATTTTAACCGTTCCCCCTCTGTACTTCCTCTTCTAAGTTGTTTCCCTGCAGCAGAAGTTGCTCCAGTAACTTATAGTGCCACCCTTTAGCAAAGTGTACAGACATGTTGTATATGGCCAATTGCTGCAAACAAATTGAAAGATGCAATGTTAAGGACTACTCAAAGTTAAGCAACCCTTTAATGACAGCATGTGTAGTGCGTAGCAGAGCAACCTTTTGCTGTTAGTGACTACAGCAGACAGGATTCATAGCCAGACACAAGTTTCATTACAAACTCCTTACTTCTTATGGCTAAAGGCCTTTAGTGTGTTGAAATAGTTTGGTTTGTGTATAAAGAATCACACCTGAGATAACAGATCAAGCTTAAATCATGCATGTCTGATGGCTACTCTTGTGTCTGGCAGGACTTTTCCTATTTTTTTATCCAATGATGCATCAGCTTCAGCTTCTTCACTGAAAGCATATTTCCCCAAAGATACAGTATCCTGATGTCTGATTGAATCCATCTTGCCATCCACAGACTTTTAGCTTTCAGTTCCAGGAGAAACAAAGCAGTCCCAGAGCATTACTGAACCGCCACTGTGCCTCACTGTGAAATTGGTGCTTTTCATTTTTTTTTCAGCTTATAAATTCCAGCTTCTTCCTGCAGGCATGCCCCTGGTTAGGAACACTGTAATGTCCTAGTAATGATTCAGTGCTTGATAGAATAGATCTTGTTTCTTTTGGTTTACCTGTTGGAGATCAGACATGGAGCTCTTCTACGCTTGGCATGTCCCTTACTGGAACCCTTAGCACCTGCCAAGCTCTTGCTGTTGGGCTTTCAGCAAGAGACTCTAGCTGCAGACCTGCAGTGTCAGGACCCTTCATTGCAGACCTGCAATGTGAGGTGTCCTGCGCTGTCAGAACCGGACATTTATTCAAAGCCTTTCAAATTAAAAGCAAAGTAAAATAAAAGCTAGTTTATCGGAAATATTTTATGTTCCCGTGTTTTTTTGTTTTTTTTTCCTGGGTGCTTTATTAGCTCCACACTTGAAGCTGTTTCTACTGTGACTGTATTCTTTAACTTTTGCAGGTTTTGCTGGAACTCCTGGATATTTGTCGCCTGAGGTTTTGAGAAAGGACCCATACGGCAAGCCAGTGGACATCTGGGCGTGTGGTGAGTAAAATGTTTTTATTTTAGATTGCAGACACAATTTGTTAATCCCAGACTGAACAAATCATTCCTCTATGGTCATTTTCAACACATTTCCATGAATTTCATAACATCTGATTTGATTCAACATTTATGTCTGTTATCCTCCAATCTGATGAAACATAAGTATTTCAACACATTTAAAGTGAAAATTCAACCTTCTTTTGTTACATTTTTCTCATTTCTGTACAACTTTAAAGAGTTATTTAAAAAGAAAAACAAATAGCATTATGGTCTTTACATTTATTCCTAAATTGGCTAAAAAGTTCTGTGACAAAGTTTCTAAACTGACAGAAATATTGTTTTTTTATCAGCTTTTTTGCTTCATTGCTCTTATCTTGTCAGATCTGTTTACAGCTAACTGAAATTAATGTGAAAATGCTTCCGGTTAATTTAATTTAGAAAGATGATGGATTAACCCCTTAAACCCACAGGGTTTTGGAGCAATTTCCACCAAAAATTGGATATCTAATAAAATCGGCTTGGGGCCACTATTGTGTCATAATTTCTGATTTATAGATGATCAAACAGCAAAAATTGGTAAGCCTTGCCCAATTTCTTTCAAAGGGAAAACTGCAAATTGCCATGGAAACCTGTTTGAAACGCCGAATGAAGCCTCAGAATCGATAGAAACACATCTTCACAATAGCAGCAATAAATTTGGACTGAATCGGTTGAAGTATACTTGTTCCAAAAAGGTTTTAGCGGAGAGTGTGGCAGGCCGACCTGAAATTTTGGCACAGATGTCCAAAATATTCCAAATAGATTTTATTCTTATACAAAAAAAATCTGGTCAAATAATGTCCATGCTACTTGTTTTTTCATTAGATTTAACTGTGTTTTATTAAAATATACCATTATAGGCAGCATGAACTCAATAAATTAATAGAAAATTAGATGTATGTTTTTTTTTTTTGTTTGTTTGTTTTTTCCTGATTACAAGATACTATGGCTAACTCTACAACAGAACTAGCAAAAAAAATAGCATATGTTGTTCTGTTGTAAGAGTAATCTATATTGGTAAAGTTTGGATAAGGTGAAAGCTTTATGAAGTTGCCCAAATCAAATCTACATACAGTAGTTACAGTAAGGAGAGGGTGTGTCTGAGAGGGGACTGTAAAGTTTTTTATTACCAGATCAGCATTTTTTCCTACTCTATAAATGTGTCCACTTTTTGAAATAGCAGATATGTTATTTAAATAAGCTAAAAATATAAAATTACAGCAGAACATATTCATAAAGCGGATCTCTGTGTATCATATCATCATCTTTGTGTGAGAATCATAACAGTTGTAATAAGGCTGCGGAAAACGTGATTAATTGTAAAGTTTTTATTACCAGATCAGCATTATTTCCACTTTTACAAATAGAAGGAATGCAATCGAAAAAAACTGAAATTAAAACTTTACAACAGAATTTACTCAAACAGCAATTCTCTATGGAGCGCTTCCACCTCTTCTGCGTCAAAATGCAGGCTGTTTTCTGAAAAATCTTTTCCAATGAATTTCCCCCAAAGCCTTTAAAATCTGTCATTTTCTTCTTCTGTATCATTGTAATATGTTATTATTGTGGGAGAAAATGAAAATAACACTGCAAGGATTGATGAAACAAAGCTGGCAGGCATGTGTAAGGCAACCTCTCTCCTCTGCAGCTCAGTGTGCAGATTTTGAGCACCCAGGACATATGTGAAATGCAAGCAGATTACTTCTCTGGGAAACTGTCCCGCAATGACTTCCATAGTTTGCAATGATGCCAGCCATTAGGGGATGTGACAAAAAAAACTGAATAATTTACCGGAATCCGACATGTCCCATTGAATTTTAAATCTCATTTTAGTTGTTTTGATTTTTTTATTTTTTTTAGAAACTTTAAAGGCCCTTTTGAAAGGGAAGGTGAGGAAAAAATTTCACTGTGTCTCAGCCATGTTGATAAATAGATGAAAATGTGCGGGGGTCCGCTGGGCCCCATACCAGGCTCAAGAGGTTAAATACAGGAAACTGATTTCAAGTATCTCTCCATTTTAAAGCAAACAGTCTACTTTTTTTATTTAATTAGTGACATGAACTGCTTTTATCTGATTTTACTTAATTTGATTTTACTTTCTCAATTCAAATGTCAGACATTTGAATTGAGAAAGCTTCCTGGAGGGGAAGCGAAACGTCTTCAAACCTTGGAAACCAACTCCAGTGAATTGTTTTTAAACTTTTACGGAATGACTATGACCTGGATGACTGAGAAACTTCATCAGCTTAATTTTACAAACTTAGGCTGTAGCGTTTTTAAGGAACTAAAAAAAAAAAAAACAAGAACTTTTGGCAAACACTGTCTACAATATTTGTAAATTTATACATATTAACTCCAGGCTCACGCTGAATGTGGTGCAACTGCTGAATGCTGCAAACGGTCACTAACACTGAACACTTTAACCAGGCGGACACAGCTACGACTCTGGCAGCAGAAACGGTGCACATGAGAATAGAAGTTTACGTTTGGTCACACTCGTTCCGGGACTTGGCTTTCCTCACAATATCCCTGATGTGCTGTTCGATGTGTTCTCTGTAGTCCCTCCTGTTGGCTTCTAGTTCATTTGGATACTGTTTTCTCCTCCTTTTCTGGTTGTTTTTTGTCTCATTCTTTTCATCAAGCGATAAGCACATAAAAATTAACTTGGCTCAGAATGTAAGGATATTAGAAATCTGTCCACTCTCACAAGCCCTAGGCCCAGAAAAACTACTTCTTTCACCAATACTGACTTGGCAAAGGAGTGGAGAGGGGCTCAGGGGACTGTCAGCCAATCAACAGAGAGCTTGGTTTAGTTTTTGATTAATTTTAAACCCCAAAAAATTGTGAAATTACTACTCTTCACCAATAATGAAACTGGAATCAGATCATTGTCTTAGAGTTTATGCAGGTCTGCGTTCACTGATGACCATTTTCCACGTAGTTCATAAACACCATTTCTAAATCAGCTCTTAAATATTTCACATCGTCAAGTAATGTTAATAAAACTTGTTTCAATCAAATTTCCATTGTTTGTTTGAATGAGAAATCAGTAAGTTAGAACTGTGAAGCGTTCACAAGCTCCACAAAATGCTGTAAAAAATCTAATGTGGTTATATTAGGGCATCTGTTTGCAGAACTAGATGCAAATATTATATGTTGGTTGAATAGTTCCTGTGCACTATGATCCTTTAGAAAAATCGGGCAGTAATAGCCTGTATCTGGATGATAATGGGTACCTGATGATGTCATAAAATGGAAATGTAGTTCAGACACGCAATCTAAACACCAAAGAACAGTCAGTAGTAGAACAAGCTTTGATTTATTTATAAAAGGGATTTAGTATGTTTTTTTAATGGGCATAATAAAGCAGTCACATTGCACAGCTTTGCTTCTAAACCCAAAAACGTAAGTTTTTTGCTAGGATAAGGTCTGTGGTTGAGCCTTTTTTTTTTTTTTTTTAAACAATGCTCTCTGAGTATAGCTGAAATTAAAGCTTTAACTTGCCTCTCTAAAGTCCAACCAGTGATTTCAGGGGTCAGTTAAATGACTCCACTCAATCAACATGGCAGCTTCATTCAGTTTCATTCATTCAGCCTAATTTCCCTCAGATCTTTGTATGAATGTCCTTGTTAATTGTTATTAATTATTTTTTATTTTTTGCAAGGTGTGATCCTCTACATCTTGTTAGTGGGTTACCCTCCTTTTTGGGATGAGGACCAACACAAACTCTACCAACAAATCAAAGCTGGCGCCTATGATGTAAGTCATTACTTCTAATGTTCTTGTACTTTAGTCCGCTTCTACCATCTGTACTTGTGCGACTGGTTAACAATAAATCTGTCCTTGCTGTTGATTGTTCAGTTACATGCATAAATGAGCACAACATGTGTGTTTGCTCATTACCTGTTGACCTTAACCTGGTTTAACCTCTTCTAAGTTTACATTTTGTTTCCCAGACAACGGAAACAGGATTTATTTCTGAATTCTAACCTTTTCCTCACCTTTTCACAAAGCATCTGCAGTGATGTCTGTTGCATATTCATGTTTTATGGTGTTTTGTTGAGTAATATCTTCAGTTTTTAAACTCCTTAATATTTCATCTAAAGATGTAAACTGGAAAATTGTACCAATCTGCTGTTAACCATTTGTCACCAGTTGTTAAATTATTAGGTACTGTCCTGCTTTTGGTTTCACAGCTGTTTGAGCCTATACAACATCTGGAATCTAAGCAAAAGGCTGCAGGCTGCTGTTGCTTTTACTGTTTAAAGTGAAAAAACTGTGTTTATCAGTTTATTGGAAAATGCAATACATTCTTAGAGCTTACCTAATTAACCCTATCACATTTTGTCACATTAGAGCCCCCAAACTTCATGTATTTCTATCCAATTAAATTGCTATACCAACACAAAATAGTAATTGTAAAGTAAAAAGAAAAATTAGACATCGATATAGATTTTTTTTTTTTTTTTACAAAAGAAAATAATGATGTGCATTTACTCAAATAGTTGAAATTAGAGTAAAGTAGCTTCTGCCTTCAGAAACTACTCTAATAGTACGTTTTGTTCAGGATAATG